AAAAAAAAAAAAGCCCAAGCGCGGCCCCGGCGCGGCGCTGGTTCAAGCTTTATTGACAGGCGGACAGCGCGGCCGCGCGTGCGCGGGGCGGGGCCGCGCCCCCTGAGGGGCGGGGCGGGGCGGGGCGGGGCGGGGGACGCTCCCCTCCCCTCAGTGCTCGGGGCACCCGCGGGGGTGGCGGTGCCCACACACACACAGCCCCGGCCGGGGGGACAGGGAGCCGGGCGGTGTCCCCGCACACACCCCCGGCCGGGGGTGTGTGCGGGGACACCGCCCGGCTCCCTGTCCCCCCGGCCGGGGCTGTGTGTGCGAGGACACCGCCCGGCTCCCTGCCCCCCCGGCCGGGGCTGCGCAGGGGAGGGACAGGGAGCCCTGCGGGATCTGAGGGACAGCAGCCTGCCGGCAACTCTTGCCGGTGCCACAGGGAAGCCGTTCCCCCCGACACCGCCTCTGGCGGCGCACGGTTCCCGGAGCCCAAGTCCTGTGAGGAGCGGCTGAGGGAGCTGGGCGGACCTCACAGGCTCTTCTCACCGGCAACAAGTGACAGGACAAGAGGACATAGTCTTAGCTTGCACCAGGGGAGGAGTTTCTTCACAGGGAGGGTGATTAGGCATCGGAACGAGCTGCCCAGGGAGATGGTGGAGTCACTATCCCTGGGGGTGTTTAAGCAAAGACTGGATGTGGCACTCAGCGCTCTGGGCTGGGTGACAAGGTGGTGATCAGTCACAGCTTGGACCTGATGATCATAGAGGTCTTTTCCAACCTAATTCATTCTGTAATTCTGTGATCTCCCTTAGAGCACTGAGGTGCCAGGCTCTCCCTCAAATACCTTCCCTGCCCACCCCGAGCCCACAGTGCCACAGAAGGGTCCAGTGAAGGGCCAGGGCTGATCTATCTCTCACAGGGTTTTTCACTTGCACTTACACCTTAGATGTGTACAAGCCTGATAGATCATGCTTCTCTATGCCCCTGAGCATCATTCAGCCCCACAGAAAGAATGAATCGATGGGCCAAGGCCAATTGTGTGAGGTTCAACAAGGCCAAGTACCGAGTCCTGCACTCGGGTCACAACAACCCCCTGCAGTGCTAAAGGCTGGGGGAAGAGTGGCTGGAAAGCTGAAAAAGGACCTGGGGGTGCTGGTCAACAGTGGCTGCCCCTTGGCTGGAACACAAGTCTGATGAGGAGAAGCTGAGAGAGCTGAGGGGGGCTCAGCCTGGAGAAAAGGAGGCTCAGGGGGGACCTTTGTGCTCTCTGCAGCTCCCTGATGGGAGGGTGGACCAGGGGGGAATAGGGCTCTGATCCCAGGGAACAAGGGACAGGAGGACAAGACACAACCTCAACCTGGCCAGGAGAGGTTCAGGTTGGATATCAGGAGGAATTTATTCGTTGGAATGGGCTGGCCATAAGAGGTGGTGTAGTCACCACTGTGGAGGTGTTTAAGAAACGACTGATCAACATGGCACTCAGTGCTGTGGTCTAGTTCACAAGGTGGTGATTGGTCAAAGGTTGGATGATATTGGAGGTCTTTTCCAACCTAAATGATTCTGTGATAGGTGTCTGGTAATGACTGAACAGCTTCTGCTGGGCTTGATCCAGCTCTGCTGCCTGGACAGGTGGGAATCCCAATAGCAAGGCCCACAGAGTGTTCCTGATTCCTGACAGAAGCCCAGGATTGTACAGAAACAAGGGCAGACCACTTTCTGCACAAGTTAATGCATAAAGTATTGAGGAACGATGCCTCAGTGATGTTCAGGGTGTTGAAGGAAACGTTGCCCCCAGACCTACCCTTTTGCAAGCCAAACTGAGAAGTTCATGAGACACAGCAGCTATCAACTCAACTTGAGCCTTGGCTCAAAGTACTGCAGAGATATAACCTGCTGTTCCCTTTCATTTATCTTCCAGCAACCTAAGGAAGTGCATTTCCTGCTTTGCACTGAGTAACTGTATTGTCTGCAGTCAGCTTTACGTGTCTAGGGTTAAAGAGGCAGCTGGTGAAACACCAAGGCATTCCCTGAGGAGGGTAATCCTAAACCCAGGTATGGGAAAACGCCCAAAGAGATCAGCTCTGCAGCAATCCTCCCAGTAGGGACAGCAGAGTGAGCCCTGAGTGGGCTGTAAAACCAGTATGAGAGCTGGTAGAACTTGTCTGAGGGAAAAAAAAAGGTGGCTTCAGGTAGGCAGTGTTGGTCAGCAGACCTCCCAGGCATGCAGCAGGGTGGCAGGGATGCTGGATGGCAAATGTCCCAAAGGGAGCACAGCCAAAACCGGCTCTGGATTTACTCTGGAGGTGCTGCCGAAGGGGGTGTGAGCTGTGGAGTGCTCCTCCTGACCTGCCCTCTCAGTGGTGCTCAAGTACCATTGGATATTTGCCTCAGTATTTTTGTCCCTCATGTTGGGAAAAAACCCCAAGACTGTCAGCAAAACTCAAAGTGTCTGTCTGAAGGATTCGGTTCAAGCCAGGAAATTCAGAGGCAGCTTTCCCATGAGATCCAGGTCAGCAGTCTTATCTTTACAGGCTGACATCTGCTATTAGAGCCACTCCCATGATTGAACTCTTTATTGCTGTTATTAAAAGGTGACTTTTTATATAGTTTTGGCGTGGGTTTTTTTGGTGTTTTGGATGGGGTTTGATCATTATTTTATCCATGGGGTTCCCCTGCTTTCTGTAAATAACTTTCTGACCAGCAGGTCTCAAGGACTAACTCTACAAAGCCATTGAAATGTAACGATTCCCCCTGTTTTCAGTGGGAGCAAAAGGGAATTACTGTTATTTAGACCTTTCTTTGAGCCTGACTGTCTGTGTGCATCGTGTTTCCTATTGCTAAGAGAAAGGAAAGCTCAGTTCCTTGTCTTCCAGAGGGATCAAAAGCCTCATGGATGAGTGTCTGCAAAGGACTTTTGGGCTTCCAAGGGAAGAACAAAGCACCAATAAGGGGTAGTATTGGCAATAGCACACCCACATTCTTCACACGAACTGAAATACTGGCTGATCCCTCAAAAGTCATAATGACTGTGCTCCAGGGAGGAAAAATAACACAGGTAAAAGCTGTTAAAGATTAAATATATGCCCACTTATGCCTATATATAATCCCCTACACCCACAGCCCCAGCACTGAGTGTGTCACTCGGCACCTTCAGCACCTAAGCAACAATTCCCTAATTCCTGAGCTTTAGGAGACCCTTTTCATGGCCTGTGTACATATTGAGCAGCCTCTGGCTCCTGGAGATGTTTCTTTCCTGGGATTGCCTTGCATTACCAGTTCCATGATCACTGTATGCAGCCTAAGGGAAGGTTAGATGCCACTTCCTGGAGATACCTGTGTGTTGGAGCAGGAAGAAGCACATGGATACAGTCTCCCAGCTTTAAAGTTCACCACAGCTGGAGCAGGGATGTGTGAGTTATCTTCCAGTCCTTGTTAGCACAAAATGAGCTCTGAGAATTAATTTGATATTGTCCAAGTATTGGACAATAATTTAGTGTTGTCCAAGTATCGCCAACACTGTTATTAATCTTGATGCAAGAGTGAAACAGGATAGATCAGGCTTCTGTCTCCTCCAGTGCCCTTGCATTGCCTCCAGGCTGGAATTCTGCATCTGCATCAGAAGCACAACTTCTGATGGATTCAGGAGAGAGGGGAGAGTCCTGATCTGGGGACACCTGCACCCTCAAGTAGCACATCCTTCCTAGGTTCCTGCTCCCACAGGATTGCTCGTGTGTCCTCATTTAATCTGGGTGTTACCCTGGTACGTCCTCTTAAAGGAGGTCTGTCTCTCTGCCTTCAAAGGTGTGTGGAGCACAGCAAGGAAAGCACCTCCTGCCCAGCCAGCAAACATCACCCATTCCTCAGTAGCCTGAAACTTAGGCTGCAAACAAATCAGTTCCTCTGGGATAAGCTGCCTCCAGCTACAGTCCTTACTGATTATTTTACACAAAGACACTGCTGTTTCTGATAGGCTTATATTTTGTAGGACTGACTGTAGGAATCTGCCCTTGTTTTTCTGTATTTTCCAGCCTCCTAAGCCAGTCACTGACCATGTCCTAGCCAGCAAAGGAGCAGTTCTGATCCTGTGCAAGGAGAGAGGACGCCCTACCTGTGGCATTAAAGGAAGGAGCAGACAAGTACTGTCCGTAGATGAATGAACCTTAATATCAATATAAGATTCTCCTCTTATGGCTACATAAATCCTACTTAATATAAGCCCCGAGTTGGTGACATTTAGGGCTGCAGCTCCATTTCCCTGTGCAACAGGCAGCTGTAGCCATGACGCCCAGTGGCTGCACAGACATGGAAATTTAGGATGCTCTGCATGGGTCACCATGCAGGGAGACTGAGACTTCTCTCACACAGAGCGACTTAAGGGCCACATGTTTGGGGGAAGTGACAATCACCTCATGGGCCCTGGGCTCCATTCCTGACTGCTGATGACTCATTAGGAAAATTACTTCAGCTTCCATTGCTACCTAATTTCCACTGGATCTGTTAGTCCATTCAGGAGCACAGCAACCCCTGCAAGGAATTGCCATCCTGGCTTGGGAATTGCTGCTCCAGAGGTCATTAGAGAACTTTATTAATACTCATTGCATTAACCTCCCAGCTAGCCAGTGACAGAAATGCCATTTCTCCCATTCTATAGCTGAGAAAAATGAAGCATAGACAGATCCATCACCTGGTTACAGAGTCAATGGGAATTCTTAATGCTCCATAAATCTGAAAATTAGGCTGTCAGCAACTTCTCCTGAGGTGAACCTGCAGCAAAGCTATCCAGGAGCCCCAGTTCCTACCCATCAGGTACCCTCCCTCCCCAGGATACCAGGAGAAACCTGGACACATCTCTCTGAATTTCAATCCCTGCAGTCAGACACAGAGACACGAGGATCTGGAGGAGAGGGAATATGTTTTGAGAGAGGGGTGGGAACTAATTGCTCATGTAGAAACTCAGGTTAAGTGTCTGGTCATCACCTAAAACTTGATTGTGAAAGAATATGAATATAAAATAAACAATTTAGGTTAACTCAGGCTGCTTGGGATGTGAATAGAGCAGAAACTATGGAGAACTGGGTTGGCTGATTGTTTATTTTAATTTCTTTTCTAGTTTAATAGTGCAGAAGCAAGTAGGGCTAAGAGGGAAGAGGCTTAGTGACAACTATTATAGTTAAGATTATACAGAGTTATTATAAAGAAAAGATTTTTTTCAATGCTTCATAACACCTTTGCCACTTCCATGTGGAATTTTATGCCTCGGCCTCAGGCTAACTCCAAGCTGGCATAGAGATTTTAAGCAAAAATGGCTCAACCACTTTGAGAAACGAAGAATTAGCAAACTGAAATATTAACATTTACTGCTGTGTTTATAAAGCCCTGATCTTTTACAGAAAAAAAAAAAAAAAAAAAAAAAAAACCAAAAAAAAAAAAAAAAAAAAAAAAAAAAAAAAAAAAAAAAAAAAGGCAAAAAAACCCCCTCAAAACCAAAACAAACAAACAAAAAAACCCCAACCAACAAACAAAAAACACTACCAAAACAAAAAAGGAAAGATATTTGGGAGAAGAGTTATCTTTACACTGCAAACAGCTACAGCATTCAGGTCTTCTGCAGAGGAATTTGACTTGATTAAGCTAAAATGAGGCTAAAATAATTGGTGATTCCTCTGTAATACTGAAATACTGTCTCCAAAGTTTCCAGGCCCCGCAGAGACCTGAAGAGAAATGTCCTTCAACTGCTGTTTCAATATGTGCGTGCTGAGGCAAAGCTATGGAGGAGCCTTTTCCCTGGGAGGAATCTTCGTCTGTCTTGAATTTTGGGAGTCTGCAGCGTTTTTATGGAAGTATTTGCCTGTTCTGTGTGGTTATAAGGGCAGATTGAAAAATGTGAGCTGCAAGGTTTAAAAAAAATCAAGGAGTGAAACACATCTCGAGAAACCTCTTTCAAATCTTAGTATTTTCAAGCCTGTTGAATGAGCATCTGAGGGTTGACCAACCTTTATATTTTGCAGTCCACTTTCATTTATTGTGATTGATTCTCCCTGTGCAGATCAATGGGGTTTGGAAAATCAGGGTGAGCCCTGGGGTCTGACTTTCAGCAGAGAGAGGAGAGGCAGCATCAGGTGTCATGACCTTGGGGGCATCAGAGCATTGATTGCCTTGAGCAGCTTCACCTGGAACCTGCACCCACGCACCCTCTGGCAATTGGCCCAGGCACTGTATTTAAGGTCATCTTTAAACACCTTTGTTTTTTTGGGATGTGGGGCAGTAGTGCCTTCCTGTACTTGTGTGTGGGACCTTGTGCTTGTGTAGCCTGTTACCCAGTCCTGCCTCATCTTCTTCCTGGATGGACCTTGGGCCTGACTCCTCTGTGTTGATGGACCCTGTTGCCAGCAGTCAGCCCTGTCTCCTGCGGTCAGGCTGGACCCTTCTTGGTGAGTGTCCTGCTGTGCTGGGGTCACTCCTGGTCCCTGGCTTGTTGCCCTGCATGGGGCAGCCCACTGCTCCTTGGCTGCTTCCCTTGCTTGCTCTGGTTTTTTTCTGAGTGGGTGGAGGGCAGGTGACAGGGGTTAGTGCTGCAAGGACCCCCCAAAAGAGTCAGCTGCTTGTTCTGGGTAAGTTGTAGATGGCTGGCAGAAGTTCATAGAATCCTAGAATTGTGTGGGTTGGAGGGAACCTTAAATCATCTCATTTGAACCTCCCTGCCATGGGCCCGGACAACTTCCACTAGACCCGATTGCTCCAAACTCTGTCCAGCCTGGCCTTGAATACTTCCAGGGTTGGGACAGCCACAGCTTCACTGGACAACCTGTCTTAGTGCTTTACCACCCTCACAGAGAGGATTTTCTTTCTCATATCTAACCTAAATTGCTCCTCTTTCAGTCTAAAGCTATTTCCCCTTATCCTGTCACTCCATTCCCTTGTCCAGAGTCCCTCTCCAGCTCTTTTGGAGCCCCTTTAGGCACTGGAAGGGGCTCCAAGGGCTCCCTGGCGCCTTTTCTTCTCCAGTTTGGACAGATCCAATTCTGTCAGCCTGTCTTCCTAGCAGTTTATGGTGGTTTTTTTCATGTTTCTTGGTACCTTTACATTAGTGCTCTAAAAAAAGTTCAATGACCTTGTCACCCTCTTTGTGCTGCTGCAGGAACTCTGCACTGCCCCACTTGCCCTCTGCCAGCCCCTACCCCCTTAGCCCTGCAGGGCACAACGTGGGCTGCCACGGCCAAGGAGAAGCTGCCCTCACTGGGAGGGGACGACGCCTTCACGGCAGCAGCACTCTAAAATGCTGGGTTAGCACCAGGGCGATTAGGTGGAGTAGGGAAATCCCTTAGTGGAGGGAGGGGATGGTTTTGGGAGAGAGCTACTTCTCACTACCGCCGCTTGCCATCAGAGGGCAAGCTCAGCCCAGGCGAAGATGCTCCACACTCGGTCAGCGCAGCTTGCTGCTTCCCAGACTCATCTCTGCCAGGTAATGACAAAGGCAAGAGGCCATTTATCGTCCCACTCGCAGGGGACGGATCCAGCTTCCCATCTCTTCCTGCTGCCGGGAAGGGCTCTGCTCCCCGGTTCCCTCGAGAGCAAATCTCGCTTTGGCAGGAATGCCCTGGCGAGGACGATGCTGCGAGCTCCGAGTCAGAGCAGTGTAATAAGGAAGAGATTCCCAGAAAGCAACGGGTTCGGGTTTTAACATCCCAAATACTATATAACCTTCCTCCTCCAGCAGAAATTATAATTAGGGCTGAAAACAGACTGAGCAGCACGTGGAAAAGCTGTGCTGGTTGGTGCTTCCTTCCTCTCCAGCATCTTGCTGCTCTCCAGAGCCACCAGTGAGTGTGGCTGAGCAGCCCCAGCAAAACCAGTGGCATTAAGGTAACTTCTGTGAGAGTGCTGCCCTTCGAGTGCTTCAGATGCATCCTAGAGGAGTGAAATACATTATATGGCTGCAGCTCTGACCTCTCCCAGGAGCCCCATGTGCTGGCATGTGGGTCTGGCTGCTAGCACAAGACCCTCCGTGCTTCCCAAGGCATTTGGTGAGGATTTACATCTTGCCAGCTCCCCCCTTTGCCTCTTCCAATGAATCTCAGTCTTAATCCACACCCCCCTCATAGCCAGAGTCTTCCTTTAAAAGGCCTTATGCTGGAGAGCTTTTCAGAGGGGAATAATGAACCAGACGCTTTCCCGGTGTCTCTCTTTGTTTTTACAGCCGTGGGTCTCCCCTGAGGACAGAGAGCCCTTTGTGCTGCACGGGGTCCCCTTACAAAAGGGGGCTTGTGAACAGAGCATCCTCCCATTGGGTACCACACCACATGGATTTTATTTTTGTTTTTTTTTTTTTCCACCTGCCCTCCTAGGCATAGCCAGTGTCAAAGCCCTTTCTGCGTGTGAGGGACTGAGCCAATAGCTTTAACCTTGCAGATTCATGATGCGTGTGTGTTGGATTGCTCGGTGCCATCCTGCTGCCCACCCTCTGCCTAGCTGGAGGGTAGATGAAGGGTTAACCTGTTTGTCATCATCTCCCCTGCCCGGTTGATGTTTGGAGTGAAGCCACATTTCAGTCTCTAGATGGCTGATAATTGAATAAACTCTGCATCTTGAGTGAATTTAAAACCAAGACAGGAGCTCTCCCCATCAGAAGTCGATATGCTTCCTCTAGCAGGGATTTTTGTCTGGAGTTAATGCTGCAGCTGCTTCTTCCAAGGGATGAGGATATGCTTGGGAGCAGTCAATTTTTGCCTGTTTTGAGTCTTTAAATTTAGTCTCTATGTGCATAAAGGAGATCCCTATTTCTGTTTCTTTCTAAAGGTGGAATCTGGGGCTACAGCCTCAAATGCTCTGAAAACCATTAAGCCTTAAATAACTCACTGATGGTTTGTTGTTGTGCAGGGTCCTTGCCCAGGTAACAGGGAAAGAAAGGCATAGGGTTGCAAATACTGCTCAGGTGCCTGACTATGCTTAGATCATGGTGTGGGAGGAGGAAAGCAATGTGATGTAGCTAATTACCCACGGTAATTAAATATTGGATACTGCTCATGTACCCTTGCAATGAATCACTCCGTTTCAGGTGGCAACTTTCTCACTGTCAATATACAGATACACTATGGACCTAGAGAGAGCTGCTTCCTGCAGAGTTGAGAATCGTGATTTTTTTTTTGGGGGGGGGGGCTGTGTAAAATATATTTGCCTTGGTCCTTCTTTTTATTCACTGTTCAATGATATTCAAACAAATGCCTTTGAGTCTGGGAACCAGCAGCTTTTTGGCACGTGTTCATTTTGCAGACAGGGGCATTCACACCAGAAATGCGGTTCTAGGATTTCATAGCCACGTGGTGGGTAGGCAGGGATGCACTGGGCAATCTGTGCCCCATCAGAAATACCTGGCACTGCTTGTGTTTCAAACTTCACTGAGCAAAATAATTGCATGGAGCTGTTTGCTGTCAGTCTGCTGCCTGCATGTTATTAATAGGAGAGATGGAGTGAATAATTAGGACTAATGACTAAATTAGAGAAAGTTGTTGTCTGTTCATGAATAGTCTGCAGAGAGGCAGTGTCCAACAATTAAAATGATCAGCAAAAATGATTAATTCCTCTTTGCAAATGTGCTCTCCATTATGCCAAAACATAAACACCCACACCTGGCCCAGTGTCCAGCCTTCAGCTTTCCCCAGCCCCATTTTGGCACTCAAGTCGGTGTAATGTGATTGCCAGAGGTGCCCCACTGAACTTCCCTACCCGGCTTTGGAGTTGTGTGTCTTTAGGAAAGCAGGGGCATCAACCTAAAGTCTAAATCGTGGTCTGAGGATCACAACGAGTTG